CTTATTCTTTGTACCCTAAGGAACATCCCTATCGTTTGGGGTGCATGCCCGACCCCAGGGGCAGAGCCACGCCCATTTTCTTTTCTTTTTATGTCTGTGTGTCGCCTATAGGCCACAATTCTTAATCAATCGTCTTGAAAAATTTTCATATGAATTGCTTATACCCTAAGTATAATCCCTATTGTTTTTGGTGCATGCCCGACCCCCAGGGGCAGAACCACGCCCATTCCTTATATTTATTTATTTGTTTGTCATCTACAGACCGCATTTCTTAACGTATCAACTTTACATACTTATTCTTTATACCCTAAGGATGATCCCTATTGTTTTTGGTGCATGCTTGCCTCCCCGGGGCAGAGCCACGCCCATTTTTTGTATTTGTTTGTTTGTCGTCTACAGGCCACATTTCTTAACGTATCATCTTGAAACTTTGTATACATATTCTTTGTACCCTAAGGAACATCTCTATCGTTTTGGGTGCATGCCCAAACCCCAGGGGCAAAGCCACGCCCATTTTCTTTTTTATGTCTGTGTGTCGCATACAGGCCACAATTCTTAATCAATCGTCTTGAAATTTTTTCATATGAATTGCTTATACCCTAATGATGATCCCTATTGTTTTTTTACCCCCAGGGGCAGAGCCGAGCTCATTTTCTTTTCTTTTTATGTCTGTGTGTCACCTACAGGCCACAATTCTTAATCAACCGTCTTGAAAAAATTTCATATGAATTGCTTATACCCTAACGATGATCCCTATTGTTTTTGGTGCATGCCCGACCGCCAGGGGCAGAGCCACGCCCATCCCTTATATTTATTTATTTGTTTGTCATCTACAGATCGCATTTCTGATCGTATCACCTTGAAACCTAGCATACATATTCCTTCTATCCTAAGGAACATCCCTATTATTTGTGGTGAATACCCAACCCCCAGGGGCAGAGCTACGCCCATTTTCTTTTTTTTTGTCTATGTGTCACTTGCAGACCGCATTTCTTAATCGATCATCTTGAAAACTTTTTTATACTTATTCCTTATAGCCTAAGGCTACTTTTTATACTTATTCCTTAATCCTAAGGCTGACCTCTATTATTATTTTTGGTGCATGCCTACAGACCGCAATTCTTAACAGATCCTTTTGAAACTTTGCATACCTATTCGAAACGTCATGCTTTTGGAATAAAGACATCGCTTGTTTTAAAATAAAAATTGTGTTCTGTTAATGTGAACGAAGTGTTAAACTGATAGCAGTCCTACAACCCAGTTTTATTTCACAGACCCTCAATGCAAACTGGACCATATCAAACAAAACAGGAATGTGGACGTATATTGCTGCGTTAGCGATGCTCTGGTTCAGCTTGTGGACCCTATAGAGGTCATAATTTTTATCTGATTTAAAAAACCGTATTATTATATCACCGTTACACCCTAAGGATGGCTGAGTTTGAATTTCGTGAAAATCGACCCAAAACTGACAGACAAAATGGCCGCCCTTCGTTCTCAAATAGTGTAAAAATATGGTACATCAAGGTTGTGGACCCTATAGAGGTCACAATTTTTATCCGATTTTGTTGAAACTTGAAATGTTAGTTTATAACCCAAAGATCTCGGTTCCTTTCGATATTCGCGCATATCGAATTGTAATTTCCTGAATTATGGTCCTTGATTGTAGGAAAAATCACTTTCTTTTTAGCTTGTTCTCTATCCATCTCTCGAAAATGTGGGCATATCCTGCCTGGCAGCCGCTGGTTGATATTGTATTCTATTAATTATTTTATATCAACTTATCTGAATATCAAATGCATCATTTTGACTTAGTCAAAATTGATCCCATCAAACCGTCTGTATTTAGTTTGCGTTTGGAAATTTCACATTTTCATGTGGACGTATTCTGTCGTCACCCCTCTCCGTTCGGACATCCATCTGTCTGTCTGTTCGTCCACAATTATTATCCGATTTTGATGAAACTTGAAATAGGGGTCTATCTCCCAAAGATCTTTTTTCCTTACGATATTGGCATGTATCAGACCATAACTTCATGGATTATGGCCCCTGATGGTACGAAAAATCACGACTTTAGCGTGTGGACACTCTAGAGGTCACAATTTTGATCCAAATTAAACGAAACTTGAAATGCATGTTTATAACCCACAGATCTTGGTACCTTTTGATATTCGCACATATCAGATCTAACTTCCTGAATTATGTATTTGGTTTGTGTTTGGAAGTTTCACATTTTCCTGTGGACGTACTTTGTGTCCCCCCTCTCCGTCTGGACATCCGTCTGTCTGTTCGTCCACAATTATTATCCGATTTTGATGAAACTTGAAATAGGGGTCTATCTCCCAAAGATCTTTTTTCCTTTCGATATTGGGATGTATCAGACCATAACTTCATGGATTATGGCCCCTGATGCTACGAAAAGTCACGACTTTAGCTTGTGGACACTCTAGAGGTCACAATTTTGATCCAAATTAAACGAAACTTGAAATGCATGTTTATAACCCACAGATCTTGGTACCTTTCGATATTCGCACATATCGGATCGTAACTTCCTGAATTATGGCCCCTGATTGTACGAAAAATCACGTTTTTAGCTTGTGGCCCCTCTAGATGTCGCAATTATTATCTGATTTAAAAAACTGTTCGAATATATCACTGTTACACTGTAATGTTGGTTGAGTTTGAATTTTGTGAAAATCGGACGAAAACTGCCAGACAAAATGGCCGCTCCTCTACGCTATATAGTGTAAACATCTGGTATATCAAGGTTGTGGACCCTCTAGGGGTCACAATTTTGATCCGATTTTGATGAAACTGGAAATATATCTTCATAACCCAAAGATCTTGGTTCCTGTTGATATTTGCGCATCCTAACTTCCAGAATTATGGCCCTTGATTGTTCGAAAAATCACTTTTAATACGCCCACATTGAAATGTAGTCGTATATTGTCGTCACCCGGTGACTCACCCCCGTAAGTCCATCCTGTGTCCTCAAGCCTGGTGATTTTTACCGATTTCCGATAATTACTGTCAGAGTTATCTCCCAAAGATCTCTGTTCCGGTCGATATTGGCATGTATCGGACCGTAACTTCATGTATTATGGCTCCTAATTGTACGAAAAATCGTGTTTTTAGCTTTTGGACCCTATAGAGGTCACAGTTTTTATACGCCCACATTGAAATCTGGTCTTATATTGTTGTCGGTCCGTCCGATCGTTGGTCTGGTGTCCTCAATTGCAAAAGCGATTTCCGATAATTACTGCCAGAGTTAAGGCCATTGATCACTTTGAAAAATCTTGTGGACGCTCTAGAGGCCAAAGTTAATATCCGATTGACTTTAAATTTATACACAGTGTTTAAGGTAATGAGATAAAGAAGCCTATTAATTTTCAGCAATTTCTGATAATAATGCCAGAGTCATGGTCCTCGATCACTTCAAAAAGTCTTGTGGATGCTCTAGAGGCTACAGTAAATATCCAATTGACTTTAAATTTATACACACTGTTAAAGGTCATGAGATGAAAAAGCCTATTGATTTTCAGCGATTTCCTATAATTACTGCCAGAGTTATGGCCCTTGATCACTTCAAAAATTCTTGTGGATGCTCTCGAGACTAAAGATAATATCCGATTGACTGTAGATTTATACAGTGATAAGGTCATGAGAAAAGAAGCCTTTTGATTTTTATACGCCCACATTTTCATGTGGACCTATATTGTCATCGACGTCTGGACGTCCCTCCGTCCACAATTTGTTTGTGGACACTACAGGTCACAATTCTTATCCGATTTTGACGAAACTTGAAATATAGGTTTATTTCCAAAAGATCTTGGTTCCTTTCGATATTGGAATGTATCGGATCGAAACTTCATGGATTATGGCCCCTGTTTGTACGAAAAATCACGTTTTTAGCTTGTGGACACTATAGAGGTCACAATTTTTATCTGATTTTGTTGAAACTTGAAATCTAAGTTGATAATCCGAAGATCTCAGTTCCTTTCGATATTGTAAATGCTCTAACGACAAAAGTTATTATCCGATCTGTATGAAATTTATATGTATCATTTAAATTAGTAAAACGAACAAGCCTATTGAGTTTCAGTTATCACCTAAATTAGTAAAATGAAGACGAAGTACAAAAGTTATCATCCGACCTGTATGAAATTCATATGCATTATTTGAATTATTAAAACGAAAAAAGCCTTTCAAATTTGAACAATTTCTGTAGATTGCTTCCAGAGTATTTGCCCTTGTTTTAGATTTTAGAACCTTGTGAACCTTCAAACAACGGAAATTATAATGTCATCTGTATGAAATTGTCTATTAAATTCCCCTAATTACCTACAAAAGAATAAATATGTGACAACCCTTGTCGACTGCTCGGACGATTTAGCTGCTGTGGGCGTATGTTTTGTTGCCTGGCAACCTATCTTTTTTATTTTTACACGCCCACATTTTCATGTGGACGTATATTGTCGTCGCCCCTGTCCTTCCGGACGTCTACAATTTGTTTGTTGACACTCTACAGTTCACAATTTTTATTCGATTTTGACGAAACTTACAATATAGGTCTATATATATCAAGGTTGTGGACCCTCTAGAGGTCATAATTTTGATCCGATTTTGATGAAACTGGAAATATATCTTCATAGCCCAAACATCTTGGTTCCTTTTGATATTTGCGCATATCGGATCTTAACTTTCTGAATTATGGCCCTTGATTGTACGCAAAATCGCGTTTTTAGTTTGTGGTCCCTCTAGAGGTTACAATTGTTATCCGATTTAAAAAAAGGTTTGAATATATCACAGATACACCCTAATGTTGGTGGAGTTCGTATTTCGTGAAAGTCGGACCAAATCTGTCGGACAAAATGGCCCCCCCTCGTACTCTAGAGGCCCCTATTTTTATCTGATTGAAATAAAAAACGTTGAATATATCATAGTTACACTCTTTTACTGCCTGAGTTCGAATTTCGTGAAAATAGGACTTTCTATTACAGATACTGATGATACATATGATCACTTACTAATAGATGAAGAAAATAAAGGGATGACAATTCCAGGTATGTCATTACGTTTTATCTGATTTTGTTGAAACTTGAAATCTAAGTTGATAATCCGAAGATCTCAGTTCCTTTCGATATTCGCGCATATCTGACCGTAACTTCCTGAATTATGGCCCCTGATTGTACGAAAAATCACGTTTTTAGCTTGTGGACCCTATAGAGGTCATAATTTTTATCTGATTTAAAAAACTGTATTATTATATCCCCGTTACACCATAAGGACGACTGAGTTTGAATTTCGTGAAAATCGGCCTAAAATTGACAGACAAAATGGCTGCCATTCGTTCTCAAATAGCGTAAAAATATGGTATATCAAGGTTGTGGACCCAAGAGAGGTCATAATTTTTATCTGATTTTGTTGAAACTTGAAATGTAAGTTTATAACCCAAAGATTTTGGTTCATGTCGATATTTGCGCATATCGAATTGTAATTTCCTGAATTATGGCCCTTGATTGTAGGAAAAATCACTTTCTTTTTAGCTAGTTCTCTATCCATCTCTCGAAAATGTGGGCGTATTCTGCCTCGCAGCCGCTGGTTAACGATTTCCAATAATTACTGCCAAAGTTATGGCCCTTGATCAGTTGTGGCATTCTAGAGGCTGAAGTTATCATCCGATTGACTTTAAATTGATACACCGAGTTTGATCTCTTGAGACGAAAAAGTATATTTATTTTCAATGAATTTTGATAACTTGAACAGCTAAATCCATGATAATAAATGTTTCGTATACTAAACGTTAGCATGGGGCAGAACTTCATAAAAAACAAACAAATTCTAATGATTTTCTGATAATTACTTAATGAGTTGTTACTCTTAATCAGATTTTAGTGTATTATAAATGTTTCATTGCCGAAAAAAGTAAAAATATCTGACATCTCTGTTTGACTGCCCGGACGATTTAGCTGCTGTGGGCGTATGTTTCATTGCCTGGCAACCTATCTTTGTTTAGCTTGTTCTCTGTCCATCTCTTGCTAAATATGGGCGTATCCTGCCTGGCAGCCACTGGTTGTTTTTAGCTTGTTCTCTATCCATTCCTTGCTATCCTGCCTGGCAGCCGCTGGTTCAAAAGGCTCCAAAACGGTAAATACTATATTTTCGGTGTTCCATCGAAAGCGTATTAATTAGATGTCATATGATAGTCCATTAATGGGATTATCCAACAACACGTTAGTTGTTTTGGTCCGTTAATATCTGACGGAGAAATCAAATTTTTCGCAAGAGCGCCAATTTTTTAACCTTTTTTATACGCCCACATGGAAATGTGGTCGTATATTGCCGTCGCCCCCCGTCCGTCCGTCCGTCGGTCCGTCCGTCCGTCCGTCCGTCCATCGTCCACAATTTCTTGTGAAGACTCTACAGACTACATTTATCAACCGATTGTTTTGAAATTGATATATGTTGTTTGTATAAGTGAGATGAAGAAGCCTATTTAATTTCAATAACTTCTGTTAATTTCTTCTGGAGTTATGGCCCTTGTTTCACTTTGTTGCACCTTGTGAACGCTCTAACGACAAAAGTTATCAACCGATCTGTATGAAATTTATATGCATCTTTTAAATTAGTAAAACAAAGAAGCCTATTGAATTTCAGCAATTTCCGTGAACGCTCTAACGACAAAAGTTATCAACTGATCTGTATGAAATTTATATGCATCATTTAAATTAGTAAAACAAAGAAGCCTATTGAATTTCAGCAATTTCCGTTAATTAAATCTAGAGTTATGGCCCATGTTTCACTTTGTTGAATCTTGTGAACGCTTTAATGACAAAAGTTATCAACCGATCTGTATGAAATTGATATGCATCATTTAAATTAGTGAAATGAATAAGCCTATTGAATTTCAGTAATTTCCGTTAATTTCCTCCTCAGTTATGGCCCTTGTTTTACTTTGTTGCACCTTGTGAACGCTCTTATGACAAAAGTTATCAACCGATCTGTATGAAATATATATGCATCATTTAAATTAGTAAAACAAAGAAGCCTATTGAATTTCAGCAATTTCCGTTAATTACATCTAGAGTTATGGCCCTTGTTTCACTTTGTTGAATATTGTGAACGCTCTAATGACAACAGTTATCGACCGATCTGTTTGAAATTGATATGCATCATTTAAATTAGTGAAATGAAGTAGCCTATTGAATTTCAGCAATTACGCCGTGAGTTATGGCCCTTGTTTCACTTTGTTGTACCTTGTAAATGCTCTAACGACAAAAGTTATTATCCGATCTGTATGAAATTTATATGTATCATTTAAATTAGTAAAACGAACAAGCCTATTGAGTTTCAGTTATCACCTAAATTAGTAAAATGAAGACGAACTACAAAAGTTATCATCCGACCTGTATGAAATTCATATGCATTTTTTGAATTATTAAAACGAAAAAAGCCTTTCAAATTTGAACAATTTCTGTAGATTGCTTCCAGAGTATTTGCCCTTGTTTTAGATTTTAGAACCTTGTGAACCTTCAAACAACGGAAATTATAATGTCATCTGTATGAAATTGTCTATTAAATTCCCCTAATTACCTACAAAAGAATAAATATGTGACAACCCTTGTCGACTGCTCGGACGATTTAGCTGCTGTGGGCGTATGTTTTGTTGCCTGGCAACCTATCTTTTTTATTTTTACACGCCCACATTTTCATGTGGACGTATATTGTCGTCGCCCCTGTCCTTCCGGACGTCTACAATTTGTTTGTTGACACTCTACAGTTCACAATTTTTATTCGATTTTGACGAAACTTACAATATAGGTCTATCGCCCAAAGATCTTGGTTCCCTTCGATATTGGCATACATCGGACCATAACTTCATGGATTATGGCCCCTCATTGTATGAAAAATCATGGTTTTTGCTTGTGGACACGCTAGAGGTCACAATTTTCATCTTATTTTGATGAGACTTGAAATGCATGTTTGTAAATATATGGTATATCAAGGTTGTGGACCCTCTAGAGGTCATAATTTTGATCCGATTTTGATGAAACTAGAAATATATCTTCATAGCCCAAAAATCTTGGTTCCTTTCGATATTTGCGCATATTGGATCTTAACTTTCTGAATTATGGCCCTTGATTGTACGCAAAATCGCGTTTTTAGTTTGTGGTCCCTCTAGAGGTTACAATTGTTATCCGATTTAAAAAAAGGTTTGAATATATCACAGATACACCCTAATGTTGGTGGAGTTCGTATTTCGTGAAAGTCGGACCAAATCTGTCGGACAAAATGGCCCCCCCTCGTACTCTAGAGGCCCCTATTTTTATCTGATTGAAATAAAAAACGTTGAATATATCATAGTTACACCCTTTTACTGCCTGAGTTCGAATTTCGTGAAAATAGGACTTTCTATTACAGATACTGATGATACATATGATCACTTACTAATAGATGAAGAAAATAAAGGGATGACAATTCCAGGTATGTCATTACGTTTTAGCCATTTTAATTCATAATTGAAGAAATGGCAGGCAATTTTCTAGTTTTTAAGCCAGAGGTGTATATCTTTCCCACAGACTTTACTGTTAGCTTTGACATGTTGTGACAAACCACGGTCAAGGGTTATAAATATAATTAAAATTACTCAGGTGTATATCCGACTCGAAACCACAAATTACCACAAACGATACGGAAATGTATAGGCACAAAGCTAACTGAAGTCGATTCAGATGGCTGACATAAACCAGCTTAGATACTAGCTTAGGTTGTTTTAAAACTGGTTTATTTACTGCATCTTTACGTTCAGACAACAAAGATAACCTAGTTACAAGATGGCCAAGGTTTTTAACCACCATCAGAACGGTATATATGAACAGGTAATCAACTAGTATGAATATTATATAATTTCAGATGATGTTAAATATAGTCAGACATCTATACAAAACAATATGGCCACCATCACATCAACAACTCCATTATTAAACCAACCATTTGTTACACAAGATGTAATAACAACTAACTATAATAAAACAACCGACAACAATATAATAGACGTGGAATCAATTTATAAAACTTGTCAATATGGTACACTTGATGAAGTCAACACTTTAATACAAAAAAATTTAAATGTAAATATTTGTGACGGTTGTGGAGATACACCATTATTTTATTGTGTCATGTCTAAACTACACCCAGTAGAGAAGATAATGTTACTCTACTCTGCTGGTGCCATTTTAGATGTTAAGGGTGGTGGTGGTCGTAGTATATTACACCATGTTTGTGAGCATGGTACTATTGACTGTTTAAAATATTTACTGGAACAAGGATTTGATCTAGATGCTAGAGATGATTATAATATGACTTCAGTATTTTATTGTGTCATGTCTAAACTACACCCAGTAGAGAAGTTAAAATTACTCTACTCTGCTGGTGCCATTTTAGATGTTAAAAATAATTATGGTTTAAGTTTATTAGACTGGGTTCGTATGTTTGATAGAACAGAATGTGAATCATATTTACGTGAATTAGGCCTTGATAAATAGAATATAAATAATCATACAACATCTTTATTTTACTAGTTAATAGTTATGTTAGGACTAAATGAAAATGTTTTGTTTTATTTTGATGTAAAATTAAAGATTTGTTTTAAACCATTTTCTGTCAATATCAACAACATTCTGTACACAGACTGGCTATCTACCAGCCATTAAACCTAGTAACACGTGATTACGTCACAGGTCAATAGGTCACGTTAAATCTATTTATAAACAAACTGAAAGTAGTATTACCAGGTTGAATAACAAGAATAGATAATCAACTGATGTGATGTTTTGGTGGTCATGAAAGTCAACTTTAACCCAATATTGTTTTAAATAACAACACAATGAATTATATTAACCAAGAGATATGATTGGAGAGGAATAGAATAATATTTACCTACTGTAATGATAGAAGACAACCGGCCAGTATCTTGTGGATGTAAAACTAAATTTATCCACAGCTGTTGAAACTAAATACCCAACATAATTCAGAAAATATTATATTTACTATAAGGTAAGAAAAATTAATTTATTTTTATACGCCTACATTGAAATTGCTTGTGGACGCTCTAGAGGCTAAAGTTAATATCCGATTGACTCTAAATTTATACACAGTCTTTAAGGTCATGAGACGAAGAAGCCTGTTGAGTTTCACGGATTTCCGTTAATTACTGCCAGAGTTATGGCCCTTGATCACTTTAAAAAATCTCGTTGATGCCCTAGAGGCTAAAGTTAATAACAGAGTAACTTTAAATTTATACACAGTGTTTAAGGTCATCAGTCGAAAAAACCTATTATTTTCAACGATTTCCGATAATTACTGCCAGAGTTATGGCCCTTGATCACTTTGAAAAATCTTGTGGATACTTTAGTACCATAGTCAATCTGGTTAAAACACAGATCCTATTTCGTTTCGTTTTTATAGTTCAAAATTTCGTTTTACTTGTCTTTACTACACTTGGATCTGGAAGAGTTGTTATTTAACTCGTGTTCTGAATGGTGTCAGGTATAAGCCAATGAAACGGTCTGTCACGGCGAGCTTTAGGCGTGTTTTGCACGGAACTGTGGGTAATCCACTAGTAACATCAATGCTGATTGGTTAACCAAATGTCTGACATCATAGGGTCATAAGTCAGTCTTTTGACCCCTGACGTGACCTATCGCTACAACTTGTCAGATCTTCATGTAGTGTAGGCCATCGAAAGTATAAAAAAAACGAAACGAAATATAGATCTGTATTTTAATAAGATTGGTACCATAGTTATCATCTGATTGATTTTATATTTATACACTATGTTTATGCCTTTATATAATCGTTTCAACTGACTTTAGATTGATATACAGAGTTTAAGGTCTTGAGACGAACAAGTATATTGATTTTCAATGACTTTTGATAACTTGAACAGCTAAATCCATGATATTAAATGTTTTGTATACTAAACGTTAGCATGGGCCAAACAAATTCAAATGATTTTCTGATAATTACTTAATAAGTTGTTACTCTTAATCAGATTTTAGTGTATTATAAATATTTCAGTACCAACAAAAGTATAAATATGCGACAAGTCATGTTGACTGCCAGGACGATTTAGCTGCTGTGGGCTTTTTTTTTTTCGTTGAAGGTCAACCTATCTTTGATTTTATAAATTGACATCCACTTTTCTCTTTTCCATGGACATATGTAGAATTAGGGGTAGGAATAGAACCATCAAGGCATTTTTTTCTATGAAGAGCTGTACAATGACAAGGGTGGGAAGAATTTTGCCTGGACAATATTTTGTATTTCTGTGAACTATCAGTGGATTTTTGTTACAGTGGTATAATTCAGCCTGTGGCGTACCCCAACCCTCTTTTTTGTATAAAACTAAAGTTCTTATAATAGATTTAATCAGAAACCATACATTAGACTCCCTCTGGACCTAGGAAATGTCTGCTACCCCACTTGGTTCCATGTTAGCCATGGAACCTGGATAGAATGATACACGATCATGTTCCCAGTTGGTGTATGAACATTCCGATACTTACCAAGTCTGCTTTACAATGAGAGGAAGAGTCGACATCCAAGGATCAAAAAGTACCAAAACACTTCGTCAAGTAAACTGTATGTTAGTCTCAAAGTAACCAAAGTATTGTGTTAACTGGATGTTAAACCCCATTCCTATCACATTATTGTATAGACCTGTCCTCATAGACTATAGATGAGACCCTACACTTCTTAGATGTACAAGTTATAAAAGTGAATAATCAAATGAAAACAAAAATATACCGCAAACCAACCCCACACAGACCAATATATTTATTACAACTCCAGTCGTCCCCACTATATTAAAAGAGCCCTTATATCCACTCTAGCACGCAGAGCTATTAACATTTGTGAACTCGAATTCCTGCAGGAAGAATTGGATCATTTAGACCATGTGTTTTGTAACTTGAATAATTATCCCACCTTACTAGTGGAGAAGCAGGGCCCTTATTCACGAAAACTTAAACTAAATTACAACCGAAATTTTAAGAAATACTGCAACTTCATTGGATATATGCAAATTGATATTACTGGTCAGCCAATCGAATTGCAGTATTTCTTAAAATTTCGATTGTATCTTAGTTTAAGTTTTCGTGAATAAGGGCCCAGTTCAATGAAATGATAAAAACCACCAGTACAGATCGTCATAAACCTGAAAAATCACCAAACAGAATAACCTTGCCCTTTTATGGTAATCTAACATACCACATTCTCGATCCCTAACACCCTGAAACAAATACCGAAAGCCAATGGCAAGCTGCAAACAATTCTCCAAATTCAACCTGTAATGAAACATATATTAGGGAAACGAAACAACCAATTGACAAAAGAATAACAGAACATAGGTCCAAAGCTGCCACTAATAATTCAGCCATAGCGGAACATCTTCAGAACCACCCACAACATAGGGTTATTGGAATGAGATCCAGATACTCACAGCTAACCAACAGAACAAGAAAACCAGGAAGATCCTAGAAGCTATAAATAGCACCTTTGGTTGTATTAAAATCACCCCCTTTTGATTGTTAAGTTTTTGCTATTATAGATTCTCCCAAAACTGTCCAGTTTTTGTCTATTTTTAGTCAGTTTATATTGTGTATCGCTATATTTTTATTTCTTTAATTTCATGTATATGGCCTCACTAAATGTCATTGTGCTTGATAACGATAAGAGGATACTTGTTGAAACGTCGTGCTTTTAGAATAAAACCAGTGATTGTATCCAAAAAAAACTGTTATGTTAATGTGTTTCCCTTGATCGTTAAATGCCACTCAAAGATTAAGTTGTAATTCTGCTTACCATTGCATATAGTAAAGTTATAATCCTGCTTAAATGCTATGGTTATTAATTGTTACTTGGGTCGTCTATTCATTTTGTTTTGTATTAAATTTGCTCGATATTCAAACCATCGATCTCCCTTTAGATCCTGGGTGTCAAACATGTCAGATCCGGCTATATCTTCGGCCCACTTGATGTAACTTCCATGGTTTGAATATCGACCCTTGATTGTACGAAAAATCAAGTTTTTAGCTTGTGGTCCCTGTAAGGTCACAATGATTATCTGATTTTAAAAATTGTTCGAATATATCACTGTTACACCGTATTGTCAGTTGAGTTTGAAAATCGAACTTAAAATGCCAGACAAAATGGCCGCATCCCGTACACAAATAGGGTAAACATCTGGGTATATCAAGGTTGTGTACCCCCTAGATGTCACAATTTTGAACCGATTTTGATGAAACTTGAAATATATGTTTATAACCCAAAGATCTTGGTTCCTTTCGATATTCATGCATATCGAATCGTAACTTCCTGAATTATGGCCCCTGATTGTTCAAAAATTTGCATTTTTAGCTTGTGGATTCTCTAGAGATCAAAATTTTTTTATACGCCCACATTTTCATGTGGACGTATATTGTCGCCGCCCCTGTCCGTCCGTCCGTCCACAATTTGTTTGTGGACACTCTACAGGTCACAATTCTTATCTGATTTCGACGGAACTTGAAATATAGGTTTATCTCCAAAAGATCTCGGCTGCTTTAGATATTGGCATGTATCGGATCAAAACATCATGGATTATGTTTTTAGCTTGTGAACCCTAAAGAGGTCACAATTTTTATCCGATTTTGTTGAAACTTGAAATGTAAGTTTATAACCCAAAGATATCGGTTCCTTTCGATATTCGCACATATTGGACCATAACTTCCTGAATTATGGCCCCTGATTGTACGAAAAATCACGTTTTTAGCTTGTGGACCCTATAGAGGTCATAATTTTTATTCGATTTAAAAAAACGTATTATTATATCACCGTTGCACACACAGGACAACTGAGTTCAAATTTCGTGAAAATCGGCCTAAAATTGACAGACAAATTGGCCGCCATTGGTTCTCAAATAGCGTAAAAAGTATGGTATATCAAGGTTGTGGACCCTATAGAGGTCCCAATTTTTATCCGATTTTGTTGAAACTTGAAATGTAAGTTTATAACCCAAAGATCTCGGTTCCTTTTGATATTCGCGCATATCGGACTGTAACTTCATGAATTATGGCCCCTGATTTTACAAAAAATCACGTTTTTAGCTTGTGGACCCTATAAAGGTCATAATTTTTATCCGATTTAAAAAATCGTATTATTATATCATTGTTGCACCCTAAGGACGACTGAGTTCGAATTTCGTGAAAATCGGCCGAAAACTGACAGACAAAATGGCCGCCCTTCGTTCTCAAATAGCGTAAAAATATGGTATATCAAGGTTGTGGACCCTATAGAGGTCACAATTTTTATACGCCCACATTTTCGTGTGGACATATATTGTTGTCGCCCCTGTCCGTCCGTCCACAATTTGTTTGTGGACTCTCTACAGGTCACAATTCTTGTCCGATTTTGACGAAACTTGAAATATTGGTTTATCCCCAGAAGATCTCGGCTGCTTTCGATATTGGCATGTATCGGATCGAAACTTCATGGATTATGGCCCCTGTTTGTACGAAAAATCACGTTTTTAGCTTGTGGACCCTATAGAGGTCACAATTTTTATCCGATTTTTTTGAAACTTGACATGTAAGTTTATAACCCAGAGATCTCAGTTCCTGTCGATATTCGTGCATATCGGACCATAACTTCCTGATCTATGGCCCCTGATTGTACGAAAAATCGCGTTTTTAGCTTGTGGACCCTATAGAGGTCATAAATTTTATCTAATTTAAAAAAACGTATTAATATATCAGCGTTACACCCTAAGGAAGGTTGAGTTCGAATTTTGTGAAAATCGGACCAAAATTGACGGACAAAATGGCCGCCGTTTGTACACGAATAGTGTAAAAATAGGATAAATCAAGGTTGTGGACCCTGTATGGTCACAATTTTAATTCGATTTTGATGAAACTTGAAATGCATGTTTGTAACCTAAAGATCTTGGTTCCTTTCGATATTGTCGCATATTGGATCGTAACTTCCTGAATTATGGCCCATGATTATACAAAAAATCGTGTTTTTAGCTTGTGGACCCTATATAGGTCATAATTTTTATCCGATTTAAAAAACTGTATTATTATATTACCGTTACACCCTAAGGAAGGTTAAGTTCGAATTTGGATGAAATCGGACGAAAATTCCCGGACAAAATGGCCGCCGATTGTACGCGAATAGTGTAAAAATAGTGTGAATCAAGGTTGTGGACCCTGTATGTGTCACAATTTTAATTCCATTTTGATGAAACTTGAAAAGCATGTTTATAACCTAAAGATCTTGGTTCCTTTCGATATTGTCGCATATCGGATCGTAACTTCCTGAATTATGGCCCCTTATTGTACGCAAAATCGCCATTTTTAGCTTGTGGTCACTCTGGAGGTCACAATTATTATCCAATTTAAAAAAACGTTTGACTTTATCACTGTTACACCGTAATGAAGGTTGAGTTCGAATTTCGTGAAAATCGAACCAAAATTGCCGGACAAAATGGCCGCCGCTTGTACGCGAATAGTGTAAAAATATGGTATATGTCAAGGTTGTGGATCCTGTAGAGGTCGCAATTTTAATTCGATTTTGATGAACCTTGAAATACATGTTTATAACCTAAAGATCTTGGTTCGTTTCGATATTGTCGCATATCGGATCGTAACTTCATGATTTATCGCCCCTGATTATAAGAAAAATCGCTTCTTTTAGCTTGTGGTCCCTCTGAAGGTCATAGTTATTATCTGATTTTAAAAATTGTTTGAATATATCACTGTAACAACATAATAAAGGTTGAGTTTAAATTTCCTGAAAATCAAACCAAAACTGTAGAGGTTACAATTTTAATCCGATTTTGATGAAACTTGCAATGCATGTTTATAACTCAAAGATCTTGGTTCCTTTCGATATTTGCGCATATCGAATTGTAACTGCATGAATTATGGCCCTTGATTGTAGGAAAAATCACTTTCTTTTTAGCTTGTTCTCTATCCATCTCTCAAAAATGTGGGCGTATCCTGCCTGGCAGCCGCTGGTTATCCGATTTTGTTGAAACTTGAAATGTAAGTTTATAACACAAAGATCTCAGTTCCTTTCGATATTCGCGCATATCGGACCATAACTTCCTGAATTATGGCCCCTGATTTTACGAAAAATCGCGTTTTTAGCTTGTGGACCCTATAGAGGTCATAATTTTTATCCAATTTAAAAAAACTGTATTATTATATCACCGTTACACCATAAGGACGGCTGAGTTCGAATTTCGTGAAAATCGACCCAAAACTGACAGACAAAATGGCCGCCCTTCATTCTCAAGTAGCGTAAAAATATGGTATATCAAGGTTGTGGATCCTATGGAGGTCACAATTTTTATCAGATTTTGTTGAAACTTGAAATGTAAGTTTATAACACAAAGATCTTGGTTCCTAATGTAATTGTAATTTCCTGAATTATGGCCCTTGATTGTAGGAAAAATCACTTTCTTTTTAGCTTGTTCTCTATCCATCTCTCGAAAATGTGGGTGCATCCTGCCTGGCAGCTGCTGTTTTTTTTCTAAAGTGAGACCTTTTTTTATTTGAAGTTGAAAACAAGAACCACCATTTCTCATGAAACGAGAAACAAATTGAATGATTTCTACAAAAAAGGGGTCACAATTTTTTATCCCATTTTGACGAAACATGAAATAAGTTTATATCCCAAAGATTTCGTTTCGATTCAATATTAGCTTGTATCAGACCGCAACTTCATGGATTATTCAAAAATGTATGTTTTTAGATTGTGGACACTCTAGAGGACACAATTTTTATCCGATTTAGATAAGACTTAAAAAGTGTTTATATCCCAGGTATGTGTCCTTAAAAACACAAAGCTTTGAGACGTCCAAATGTTCAACTGCTGATTGTATCATTGTTCATGGCCTTATTCATGTAGATTTGACAAATTATCAGTCAATGATGACAAATATGTAAGGCTATTTATGGCTATTTATTGGGCTGAATTAGGTATTTAGGTATGTATTGGGATTTAAAAATGATACTGTTGTATTTCTTAGGTTTACCAACCGGAACAAAGGCTGTTTTCCTGTATAAATCATACAGGGAAGGTAGAGTAGCCATTGATGGACTGCTGAAAGACCTAACACCTTTAAAACCGCCTTCCCAGTATGGGTTAAAGAAACTAAAAGCTATTTTATCTCTTGATGTCTTGAATGTAAGGTTTGTAGGTTTTCTAAATTCCTCGTAATTTGTGTAGTTTAAAAAGTAATTCTTATTTTTTAAATTTGATGATGATTTAAATCTGCTTTAAAAAGTGCACTTTATATTCAGTTTAAATAATGTACAAAACTAGAAAGGGTGGGGATTTGGATGACCAAAATGATGCTCACGTTGTATCATAAGGTCTGTCATTGATCTGTCACTGAGTCAAGTGGCGTGGTTTTGATTCCCAGGTTGTGCGTGAGTAAAATTGAACCAGTTGTAAATCCCGAAATGACCTAGTTTGTGTCGAGTGGATGTTTAACCCCATTTCTCTCTCTCTCTCTCTTTCTCTCTCTCTCACACAAAACTAGAAAGTTGCCATTTGAAATTGTGTCAAAAATGGCACTTTATTTCTATTTGACCACATAGAAAAACCGGTTGATCTTCTGTTTACGGATTTATCTAGCGACTTGCGTGTTATAGATATAATGCATATTCTACAAGCTACATTTGAGAACCATTATGTAGACACTTTTATGCTTTGTAGTAAGTTGAACATGGAGTAACTTTGAAAATATATCCCAAGCTAATGATCAGAAAATATATATTGTCTGATCTTCTTCTGGCAGCCGAAAACAATTATTTATTTTTTTACTTTTATTTTGTAGAATTACAAATACTGATGATGGATCACAAATCGTTGCAGAAACAGGTACAGTATTGTTATACACTTTCATCACCTACATGTACTTCAGCCACTTCCTTGTACTTCCTTGATAACATGACATTTGTAGCAGACACGTGCAATAATCTACAAACATTTCTAAAATTTTATATGTAAGCTGTATCGTCTGTAATGGAAAACATGGTCTGGGTATTGATGTAAAAAAAAATATTTAAAGGCCTGTGCAAAAGCAAGAAATATTTATTCGTCAGTAGCATACCTATCACCTATATGAGAGTGCCAGAGAGCCTATTCGCTTGGCTGTGTTTTCATGTTAAAATCTGTGATTTAGATCATAAGGTCTGTCACCAAATCATGTGTTGTTATTTCCATTCCAGCCTTGAAGACGACAAGAAATAGGGTCAGGTTTCATTCCACTGTCTTGGGTGCTTTTTATACGCCCATATTTTCATGTGGACGTATATTGTTTTTGCGCCTGTCATCCGGCCGTCCACAATTTGTTTGTGGACACTCTACAGGTCACAATTTTTATCCGATTTTGACGAAACTTGAAATACAGGTCTATCTCCCAAAGATCTCGGTTCCTTTCGATCTTGGCATGTATCGGACCATAACTTCATGGATTATGGCCCCTGATTGTATTAAAAATGATGTTTTTAGCTTGTGGACACTCTAAGACGTCCCAATTTTCATCCGATTTTGATGAAACTTGGAATGCATGTTTATAACCCAAAGATCTTGGTTCCTTTTGATATTCGGAGCATATCGGATTGTAACTTCCTGAATTATGGCCCCTGATTGTATGAAAAAATCATGCTTTTAGCTTGTGGTCCCTCTAGAGATCACAATTTTTATCCGATTGTAAAAAAAAACCTTTTAGTATATCACTGTTACACCCTAAGAATGGTTGAGTTCAAATTTCGCACCAAAACTGTCTGACAAAATGTCTACCCCTTCTACGCAAATAGTGTAAACTTCATGTATATCAAGGTTGTGGACCTCCTAGAGGTCACAATTTTGATCCGATTTTGATGAAACTTGAAATGCATGTTAATAACCCAAAGATCTTGGTTCCTTTCGATATTCAAGCATATCAGATTGTAACTTCCTGAATTATGGCCCTTGATTGTATGAAAAATCGCATTTTGAGCTTGTGGTCCCTATAGAGGTCACAATTTTTATCCAATTTTGAAAAAAAAACGTGTGAATATATCACAGTTATACACTAATGATGGTTGAGTTCGAATTTCGTGAAAATCAGACAAAAACTGATGGACAATAATGGCTGCCCCTTGTATGCAAATAGCCTGGCAGCTGCTGGTTTCTAAATATTAATGACTGGCTTCATGATTTTAGGTGAAAAGAACATCCTTGTAGACGAAACCTTAGCTATAAACAGCACAGTTACAAACAAAGGTAACATATTCATATACGGTCACTTCTTTACTTATGTCAACCGAGAGGGCCATCAGAATGGAATTCATATTCGGGGGAGAGAGGCTTGTTCATCTGGACAATGTTTATTGGTCACTTATAACCATTGTTTTACCTATTCTTAAAGTTTCTCTCGTAAAAGTATTATCTTCCACTTTGTTTTATTTTTTTTCTTCTAAAGAACTAGGGGGATCACGTGGCTAAGTGGGTAAGACGCTGGCTCGCTAGCCTGGAGGTCGGGTGTTCGACCCTTGTATTGACCGAGAAAGTTCATCCCGATTTTCCGGCGTGGTTCCCCCCTTGTCAGTGATGCAAGACGGAGGGCCAGACAAGGACAGCTGTCTAGTCGTTCGGATGGGACGAAAAACAGAGGTCCCGTTTACACACTGGCGTGCACGTAAAAGACCCCTTGGCAGTTGGAATTCGATATAAGAGTAGGCCATAGCGCCGTTGCCCGGGCAAAATTTCCCTCATAGCACACTGTATGGCGTATGCCCATTTTCATTAGCCCAGTTTAGGAGCAGAACAGTAGGATGTTAAACCCCATTTCATTTCATTCTAATGAACTAGAAGCTACAGTTTTTAAAATTATTTTTTACATAATTGAGTTCATTCATTTGGATAATGAAAGGGTTAACCCTATTGATGATTTGCCCTGTTCTCTGTATATCTTATATGCATTGTTCAGATTAGTAAGGTAAAAGAGCATATCATATCTCAACAATTTCAATTAACTGCTTGTTGGTTAATCAGGGGTGCTAATTATATTTTAAACTGAAGTACCAAATATTGACAGACATGGAGGCATGTCAATGTTTTTCGTAGTTATACTGTTACCCCCATGGTTATTATACCTACCTCATAAACTATGTCAAGTTAGGGTCTATATAAAACAAAATGATTGAAATATACAGAATCTTAAAATTATATTTTTCAGAATATGAAGTAGAGAAAATTATTAAAAGGAGGAGGGGTGGGGGCGGAATATCAATTCTTATTTAGGTGAAAGGGTTCCCCTCCATCAGCTGATTCATAGGAAAAAGAAGAAAACCTTAATCCCTATCTTTAGAATATGTCTAAACATTAAAAGTTGTGTTTGTATTTTGTATCATTGAACCGCAAAATGTGTAAATGTTGAACATTTTCGAGCAATTGTATTCGTGGTAACCTATCAGAGCAGTTTGAGTAAAATAAATCACAATGTGTTGGGTAAATCATCTATGAGGAGGTGTAAGTTTAGGCAAAAAGAAAGTCAGTCTTGACGCAGCAGTATATTTTTTAAAAATCAGATCAATTGGGATAAGAAACCTAATAGAAGTACACATTAAATATCTTAATGAAGAGATGGGTTTTGCTCTCTTAGATGCACACATTAAATATCTAGAGAAAAGGATGTGTTTGGGCTGTAAACGTGGCTCTGTTAGACACTTAAATTAAATCAGTGCTGGACTGGTAGGCCAAAGGCCAACCTGTCAGGTCATTGGCCATGGCCGACGCATGTACGCAATGAAGGCGCGTCACTAGCACGCCGAGGGCGCATTAGCATCCGTGGAGGGTCTGGGGACCCCCTCCCCTCAGAAAATTTTTAAAAATTGACAACCGCAAACCCATTTTCCAAGCATTTCAGACCAAAGCTTCCTATCTTTTCTTTCTCCTGTTCTGTGTCCTGTCCTATCTCATCGCCTTTCTTCTTTCTTTTCTTTCCTCCCCTCTCCTTTCTTTTTCTTATTTCATTTTTCTATCTCTTTTTTCTTTTTTCTTTATAAGCTTAGGCCCACTTTTTTTTTTTTTAATGAGCTTAGGCGCACCTGTCACAGACAGGTGGGCCCAGTCCGGCACTGAATTAAATATATGGATGAAGGGATGGGTTTTGGATGTAAAACCGCATGATTATCTGTGCTGCCTAACTGACAAGGAGGAGCCTCAAAATTCTGCTCTGTTAGATGCACACATGAAATATCTGGAGTAAGTTGCTCTTTTCATCAGAAGCATTAAATATCTGGACTAAGGGACCGGTTTCATTTGAGAAATTCACTTTACATTCCCTTGTTTTTATTCATTCTATACTTTTCTATTTTTCTCTTATCTAGTGACAGTTAATTATTTTTTTGAATTGTCAGATATCCTCACACAGGCTCATATAACAACTTTTGGTCTTCGAAGGAATTATTAGTGAGAAGAAATTCGCCTGTGTATCTGTTATCGATTGTCACTTTAGTCAGTTATATAGAAAGATAACTTGTGTTTTCCTTTTGCGTTCGTCACTTCCCTTTCTTGAAATCTTAATAATGCAGCTATCGTAGCAATGTGTTAAAATTATATTTGGAACGTGTTTATTCAGTTCAATCACATATGTCATAATGACTGGCACAAATATTGTCCTTTAATGAGCTCTATACGGATAGGGTAGCTAATCTGTTAATTAGCTCTTGGGTTAAAGCAAAAGTTTGAATTTTTGATTGTTCTTAGCCTTGTAAAAAATATATTTTTGAAATATTTACTAGTGGACTCTTAGTGGAAGGCAGTTGATATACGTTTTTATACGTCTACATGGATTATAGCCCCTGATTGTACAATTCATGTTTTTTGCTTGTGGACCCTGTAGAGGTCACAATTTTTATCCGATTTCAATAAAAATTAATCTTTAGTTTGATTGTCAACACCTGCTCTTCTTCCCTGTTGCCTGGTAACATATGCTCACCTAGATTGTTAAAGGGAGCCATGGTCGCTCAGCGGGTAAGACGTTAACGTGCACATTGTGTGTTCGATCCCTGCATAGACCGAGAATGTTTTTGTTAACATTGTTCTTATTATTATTTTTTTTTTTCCCCACTTGAGCATACCTCAGAAACTACTTGTCGGATCAATTCGATGTCTTCGGTTTTACTGGGAAAGTGGGTGTGACGTAGAGATTAAAGCTATTTCGAACGCTCTGTGACAATGCGAAATGTCCGAAACGCCAAAGTTGTCATTTTTTAAAATATTGCTAATATTAACAATAATCGTCGAATATTAACATTGGATACATTTTGACATATATAGCCTGAGACAGGGCACATAGGGAGATATTATGCGCCAAATTTTGGAAATTTAAATTTTGACTAAAAACTTTTTTATTAATGAATATTTTTTTATGGCATTTTACCCAGGGTTAAGGGGTCGTCTGATTTGAGCAAAAATGTGAACATAATTTTTCTTGGCCGCTAAGTTTCTAATTCAGTTTATCGGTTCTAGGTTAATTATTTATTGCCCGATGGTGCAAATTCTCAATTTTTTTATTACCAGTAAAGTTTTCTATCGGCACCACCAAATGTGACGCAATTTCCCTAAAAACTTTAATTTTGTCAAGTCGGAACGTCTTTTCAGGCGCAAAAAATCTCAGACTCGCTTTTTTATACGCCCACATTTTCATGTGGACGTATATTGTCGTCGCCCCTGTCCGTCCGTCCGTCCACAATTGTTTGTGAATAGTCTACAGGTCACAATTTTGATCCGATTTTGTTGAAACATGAAATGTAAGTTTATAACCCAAAGATCTTGGTTCCTTTCGATATTCGCGCATATCGGACCGTAACTTACTGAATTATGGCCCCTGATTGTACGAAAAATCGCGTTTTTAGCTTGTGGACCCTATAGAGGTCATAATTTTTATCCGATTTAAAAAACCGTGTTAATATATCACCGTTACACCATAAGGACGGCGGAGTTAGAATTTCGTGAAAATCGGCCCAAAACTGACAGACAAAATGGCTGCCGTTCGTTCTCAAATAGCGTAAAAATAAGGTATATCAAGGTTGTGGACCCTATAGAGGTCACAATTTTGATCCGATTTTGTTGAAACATGAAATGTAAGTTTATAACCCAAAGATCTTGGTTCCTTTCGATATTCGCGCATATCGGACCGTAACTTACTGAATTATGGCCCCTGATTGTACGAAAAATCGCGTTTTTAGCTTGTGGACCCTATAGAGGTCATAATTTTTATCCGATTTAAAAAAACATATTATTATATCACCGTTACAAGCTTAGGAAGACTGAGTTCAAATTTTGTGAAAATCGGCCAAAGACTGACAGACAAAATGGCCGCCCTTCGTTCTCAAATTGCGTAAAAATATGGTATATCAAGGTTGTGGACCCTATAGAGGTCACAATTTTTATCCGATTTTGTTGAAACTTGAAATGTAAGTTTATTTGCGCATATCGAATTGTAATTTCATGAATTATCGCCCTTGATTGTAGGACAAATCACTTTCGTTTTAGCTTGTTTTTTATCCATCTCTTGAAAATGTGGACGTATCCTGCCTGGCAGCCGCTGGTTTAATTTTGGTTTTGTATTTGCGCCATTTCGATTTAATGGTGAAAAAAGGTGTAAAAGTGAGCTATTTACAACCCATTCAGGCTTTCCATATTTCAAAATATTTCTTCCAACTTTCATAAACTTGTAGCATTAATCCATACGAAAAGAATCTATGTCAAAATTAGTTTGTAATATGAGTGTTTGCCGAGAAATGGTCAATTTTGCATGAGTCACTTTTTACATTATTTTGCCTGTCAAAGAGCCAATTATTATTGGATTTTCATAAAAGTGACACCATTTGATGTGTAATGGTAATTTTGACTAGTTCAAACCAATTTAACATTTTCAATGTCACCGGAAATGGCGCCATTTGGGCAAAAAATGTATTTATAGCCTTCAAAACAGATATTTTATTCAAATGAGTCTGATTTGTAATGTTTTTAAAATTATGACATTTGATTCCAATCAACTAATAGAATGAACCCATTCGATCATATAGATATATTACAAAATGGTTTCTAACTTGTTCAGTTGCGGAGAAATAGACGATTTTTAACAGGTCATTTTTCAAGGTTTTGGTCCATAAAAGTGCCAATTATTATTTGATTTTCATAAAATCTTCACTGTTTGTTACCTATTGCCTTTTACAATTTCATATAAGTAATTTAAGATTTTCATTATCACCGGAAGTACCGTCACTTTGGCAAAAACTGTAGTTTTAGCCTCTAAAACAAGTAATTGTTTGAAGTAAGCGATATTCATTATTCGTATAAAATTATGATATTTGATTTCAATGGACAAAAAGTATTAATCAATGCGATCATATAGATATCAAAAAATTATTTCTAACATCTTCCTTTGTCCAGAAATAACCAATTTTGTCAGGATCACTTTTTAAGATTTTTCGCATTTTAATTTCAGTGTATGGGTTCTTGGTTAATTATTTATTGCCTGATTTGTGTAAAAGAAAAGCCCACCTGGTGCAAATTCTCAACTTACTTCTACCTATAAAAGTTTCTGTCGGCACCGGAAGTGACGTAATTTTGCCTAAAACTTCAATTTTGACGTTTCGAAAGGTCTTTTAAAAAGCAAATATTAATGTTTACAAATCTAATAGATCAAGATGAATGCTCATACTAAAGACACAAAATATGTCTTGCTTTGTTTTTTTTTATTATTATTTCGGTTTTGCATTTGCATTATTTTGATTTAAAGCTGAAAAAAAGGTGTAAAAATGAGCTATTTACAATGCATTCAGGCTTTTCATATTTTAAAATATTTCTTGACAACTTTCACGAACCTGTAGCATTAATCCATACGATGACAATGTATGTCAAAATTAGTTTGTAATATTAGCAGTTGCCGTGAAATAGGCAATTTTGCATGAGTCACTTTTCACGTTATCATACAGATACCACAAAATGGTTCCTAACGTTTACGGTTGCAGAGAAATAGACGATTTTCTACAAGTCACTTTTCAAGGGGATTTTGGTCTATAAAAGTGTCTATTATTTGATTTTCATAAAATTTTCACCATGTGATGCCTGATGCCATTTGTGATTTCATGGAACTAATTTAACACTTTCATTATCACCGGCAGTAATGACGTTTTGGCAAAAACTGTATTGTTAGCCTTCAAAACAAATGAGTTGTATTTATTATTCGTTTAACATTATGATATTTGATTCCAATTGAGATATAGATTGGATCAATACGATCATATAGATAGATGTCCACAAATTGCTTCAACCATCTTTCTTTGTTGAGAAATAACCAATTTTGTCAGGATCATTTTTTAAGACTTTTTTTCACACTTTTAAGTTCCCATTAGATAGTCAGCTAACTTAGTGGTAAGTTAGTAACAAATTTTGTCAGGATCACTTTTTTGACATATCTAACGCATGGTAACAAATGTATAAATGGGATTGATATTGCTGGATTTGGTTGATTTCTGCGTCCATTTCATAACACATGTGCAATGCTTACGTGGAAATCTGTTTAACGGTTTCATTGGTACCGAATGTGACATACGTTCATGGGTAACAAGGCACCGGAAGTGACATAAGTTCAAGGGTAACGCGCAACCAGTGAACCCCGTCATTACTGCATCACAGTTCTAGTTATTATTATTATTTTCCCATTTGAGCATATCTCAGAAACTACTTGTCGGATCGATTCGGTTTTACTGGGAAAGTGGGATTGACTTAAATTTTAAAGCTATTTCGAACGTTCTGCGACAATGCGAATTGTCAGAAGTTGTCGTTTTCGAAATTTTGCCGTAATGTTATCAATAATTGTCGGATTGTAATGTTTGATACATTTTTTTATAGCCGCAGACAAGGCACATAGCTACATTTCTTTAGATTTTTTATTTTCGACGAATCTTCGGAGATATTAGGCGCCAAGATTTGAAAATTTAAATTTTTACGAAAAACTTTTTTATTAATTAATATTTTTATGTGGTATTTTACCCAGGGTTCAAGAGTCATCTGATTTGACCCAAAAAAGGCAACATTTTTTGTCACCGTATTTCTCCTTGGCCCCCATTGACTAATTTAGTTTTTCAGTCCCGGATTGATTATTTATTGTTCGATTTGTATAAAACAAAGTTCATATGTTCCGTGGTCCAAAATGTCATTCTTTTTGTTTGCGGTAAAGTTGCCTTTCGGCAACGGAAGGGACGTAAATTTAGCAAAAACTACAATTTTGACAGTTCGATACCACTTTTTGAAAGCAAATTTTTCAAATCTTGTATGACTAAAGGCGTAGAAAACATCGGGCTCAGTTTTTTTAATTTCGATTTCTTTTTCTGGTCATTTCGATTTAAAGGTGAAAAAAGGTGAAAAAATGAGCTATTCACAACCCATTCAGGCTTTTCATATTTTAAAATATTTCTTCGCAACTTTCATAAACTTGTAGCAATAATCCATACGAAGAGAATGTATGTGAAAATCAGTTTGTAATATGAGAAGTTGCCGAGAAATGGGCAAATTTGCATGAGTCACATTTTACGCTAGTTTGCCTGTTAAAGAGTCAACTATTATTGGATTTTCATAAAAGTGACATCATTTGATGCGTAATGTCAATGTTAACTAGGTCAAACCAATTTAACATTTTCAATGTCACTCGAAATGACGTAATTTGGGCAAAAACTGTATTTATAACCTTCAAAACGAATAATTTATTCAAATGAGTCGTATTTATTATTTGTTTAAAATTTTGATATTTGATTCCTATCAACTATTAGAATGGAACCATATGATCATATAGATATCACAAAATGGTTTCTAACTTGTTCAGTTGCAGAGAAATAGACGATTTTTAACAGGTCACTTTTCAAGGTTTTGGTCCCTAAAAGTGCCAATTATTATTCGATTTTCATAAAATCTTCACTGTCTGTTACCTAATGACTTTTACGATTTCATATAAGTAATTTAAGATTTTCATTATCACTGGAAGTAACGTCATTCTGGCAAAAACTGTATTTTTAGCCTTCAAAACAGATATTATTATTATATTCAAATGGGTTTGATTTGTAATGTTTTTAAAATTATGATATTTGATTCCAATCAACAAATAGATTGAACCAATACGATCATACAGATACCAAAAAATGGTTTCTAACGGTTGCAGAGAAATAGACGATTTTCTACAAGCCACTTCTCAAAGTTTTTGCATTATAAAAGTGGCAATTATTATTCGATTTACATAAAATTTTCACGATGTGACGCCTTATGCCATTTCTGATTTCATAAAACTAATTGAACATTTTCATTATCACCAGAAGTACTGTAATTTTGACAGGATCACTTAAATGTAACAAATGTATTAAATGAATTGATATTGCTGGATTTGGTTGATTCTGAGTTCATTTTATTTGATGTGTGCAATGCTTATGTGGAAACCTGTTTAATGATTTCATTGGTACCGGAAGTGACAAATGTTTAGGGTAACGTGGCACCAGTGAAACCTGTCATTACTGCATCGCAGTTCTAGTTATTATTGAACTTATACTTAGCAATCTGATTCACTTGTCTAAGTAAAAGTTCAATAATAATAAACAAAACAGAATGAAATACTTAGCAATTTGATTCACTTGTCTCTGGAGATAGGGGTGCCTTCTCAACCTCTTGGGTTTACTCCCGGTACTCAGGTTTCCTCTCACAGGAAAGACCCCTGCGCGTGTGCCAAGAC